ACCAGTTCAACTATTCTGAAGAACAATCTGAAACTACACCCAAAGGCCTTGTGGTTCATTCTTCATTCTCAAAGAGGACCATGATATCAGGAAGATGATGACATGGCTGGCAATTAAATTGGATTTGAGTGAGGAGGGCTGTGCAAAGTCACCAGCTTCACTTTCTACTCCAGAGCCATATGGGTCCAGTGGCTAGATATAGATCAGGATGAGTAGAGATGGCCCAGGATGCAATGGGAGACTTTACCCTTTTTAAGGTGCAGTCTTTATGAATTTTCACTTTGAATGAGTCAACACCTATTCAGTGAATAGGCCTGTTTAAAAAGTGAGTCAAATAATGTCCCCTCTTAAGGAAAAATAAAATCAAACTGGGAGGGGAAGACCCTCAGGGTTGCTGGCCAAAAGAGAAACAATGACTATTTATATTCACCCAAAAAATAGCCATTAACTGAACCCAAAGGGCTACAAAACTGTGCACACCCTTTAACCCAGCAATACTACTTTAGGTCTATATCCCAAAAAGGTCAAGGAAAAGGAAAAAAAAGATATTATCTGTACAAAAATATTTATAGTAGCTCTTTTTTGTGGGGACATAATTGGAAACAGGATGTGCATCAGTTGGGTAATTGATGAACAATTTCTTGTATATGGTAGTAATGGAATACTATAAGAAATGACTAGAAGGATGGTTTCAGAAAAACCTGGAAAGGAGTTCTGATTCTGGGAGCCAGGATGGCGGAGTAAAAAGGTAGTCACTCTTGTCCTCCCCTATCAACATCTGAAAACCCAGAAAATATCACTCCAGAAAAAAAAAAAAACCCTGGAACAGCTGAACTGGAAGAAAGATGGGGAACAGTAGTGCAGCAGCCTAGCAAACAGGCCTCCCAGTGCCTCAGCAAAAATAAGGGAAGCAGCACTACAAAGGGCCCCAAGCAGATAAGCAGCCTGCAGCATTCATCTAAAAGGAGCTGAAGAAAGCAACCTAGAGTCTTCCTAAAGTCCCAGCCTTGCTGATTCCAGCCCAACACCAGGTAAGCTGTCAGGACCCTACAGCTTCCAACTGTCAACCAGGAGAGATCCTGAAGCCCAGGTGGTAGAGCAGGCAAACACCAACAGCTGGACCTCCGAATGCCTCAGTAAGGAACCAGTGCAAAGAAGCTCAGAAAACCACCAGGTGCCTCAACACTCTACCCCAAAGGAATCTCCCAGTGCATTAGCAGAAAGGCAGGAGGCAGCATTGCAAAGGGCTCCAGCCCTACAGCCCCATCTAAAGGTAGCTGAAGAAAGCTAAAGAAAAAGAAAAGCAGGCAACCTAGAATTGCCTGAAAGTTCCAGCCTTGCTGATTCCAGCCCAACACTAAGTAAGCTGCCAGAAACCTACAGCCTCCAATTGCCAACATAAGAGGCCCTAGCACACAAAGCCAGTGACCAAGACCTAGGCACCCAACACAAGAAGCTTGGGTCAGTGCCCTCTGCTCCCCGGCAGGAGAGCTCAATCTCTTTAAAGGCCAGGGAATAAAGAAACACCATGAGTAAAAAGAAACGTACCATAGATTCATATTATGAGAAGAGTGAAGATCAAGACAGAAATTCTGAAGAGGAAAACACAGTCAACAAATCCACATCTGCAACATCAAAAGGGAATATGAACTGGTCTGAAGCCCAAAAAGCCTTCTTAGAAGAGCTCAAGAAGGATTTTAAAAGTCTAATGAGAGAGACAGAAGAGTCCTTAAAAAACACAATTGGCCAGTTGGACAAAAAGCACACTAAAGAAAACAAGTCCCTAAAAAATACAATTGGCAAACTAGAAAAAAAGTACACTGAAGAAAACAAATCCCTTAAAAATACAATTGGCCAATTGGAGAAGGAAGTACAAAAGCTAACAGAAGAAAACAATCTGTTAAAAACTAGAATGGGACAAATGGAAACTAATGGATGTATGAGAAAGCAAGAATCAGTCAAACAGAAACAAAAAAATATAGATGAAAACATAAAACATTTCATTGGTAAAACAACCGACCCAGAAAATCGATCCAGGAGGGACAATTTAAAAATCATTGGACTGCCTGAAAATCATGATGAAAAAAAGAGCTTGGACAGTATCTTTTAGGAAATCATAAAGGAAAACTGCCCAGAAGTCTTAGAACCAAAAGATAAAATAACCGTAGAAAGAACACACTGCTCACCACCTGAAAGAGATCTCAAATTGACAACGCCAAGGAATTTAATAGCAAAATTCCAAAATTATCAGATGAAAGAGAAGGTGCTACAAGCAGTCAGAAAGAAACAATTTAAATATCATGGAACCACAATCAGGATTACACAGTACCTTGCAGCTTCTACATTAAAAGACCGCAGAGCGTGGATTCCATAAGGCAAAGGAGGTTGGATTGCAGCCAAGGATCAACTACCCTGTAAAAATGCGCATGATTTTTCAAGGGAGGAGATGGATATTCAGTGAAATAGGGGACTTCCAAACCTTCCTCATAAAAAGACCAGAGCTCAACAAAACAATTGATCTTCAAGTACAAGATTTAAGAAAGACATAAAAAGGTAAATGGGACAGAAAGATAAAAATGTTGTTAATAAGGGCAGACTGTTTACATCTCTACAAGGGAAGATGACACTTGCAACTCTTGACAACTGTATTGTTATTACACCATGTTAAAGGAGTATACCTAAAGGGGGTGGATATTAGTTGACTTTGATGTAATTAAAAAAAATCTAATGAAGTGGGTTAAATGGATCCAAGTAAGTGGATTAGTCTGATTTTAGAAAATGTACTGAGAAAGGAGGAGGCAGACAAGGATAAATTAAATTACAGGAAAAGACAGAAAATCCTATTACAGCAGAGGGAGAGAAGGGGGGGGAGCATTGTTTGAACCTTACTCTCATCAGATTTGGCTCAAGAAGGGAATAACATAATCAGTTAGGTATAGAAATTTAACTTGCCCTATAGGCAGTAGGAGTGAAAAGGGGAAAGAAAAGGGAGGAAGGATGGAAGGGAGGGAAGAAGCAGTAAGGGCAAAGGGGAAGAAAAGGGAAAGATATAATAGAGGGAGGAGAAACTGAAAGAGGTGGTGGTCAAAAGCAAAACGTTAGTAAGGGGGGGGGAAAGGAGAAAGGAGAAAGAAAAGCATAAACAGGGGGAATAAAAGGATGGAGAAAAAGACACAGTAATCATAAGTATGAATGTGAATGGGATAAGCTCTCCCATAAAATGGAAGTGGATAGCAGAATGGATTAAAAGCCATAATTCTATTGATAAACTTACCCCTTCTCAGCAATACAAGGATCTAAGACATCTCCAGAGGCCTAGTGATGGAAAATGCTATCCACATCCAAAGAAAGAACTATGGAAGTTGAATCACTATCTTTTTTTTCTCTTCTGTTGAGTTTTGTTTCCTCTCTCTGATGGTTACCCCTATTGGTTTTAATTTTTACTTACAGCTTCACTAATGTGAAAACATGTTTAATAGGAATGCAAATGTATAGCCTATATCAGATTTCCGTCTTGGGTAGGGTGGTGGGGAGGAAGGGGGAGAAAAATTTTAAACTCAAAAACATGTGGAAGTGATTGTTAATAAATCAAAATAAATTAAAAAAATAAATTAAAAAAAAGAAAATAGGGAAAAAAAGAAAGAAAAAAAAAACCTGGAAAAATTTATATGACCTGATGCAAAATAACTTATATAGAGTGAGGAGAACATTATAGAAAGTAATAGCAATATTGTAAGGATGATCAACTGTGAAAGACTTTGGTACTCTGGTCACTACTACCCAAGACAATTGCAAAGAACCATTATAAAGATGCTATCCACTTCTAGAGAGAACTTATGAAATCTAAGTACAAACTGAAGCACACTTTATTTTACTTTTTTCTTTTTTTTTGCTTTCTTTCGCAACATGGATAATATGGAAACATGTTTTGCATGACTTCTCACGTATAATCAATACTTTTTTTGCCTTCTCAAGAGATGGCAGAGTGGTGGTAGGAAGACAGAGAATTTAGAAGTCAAAATCTTACAAGTGTATATTAATAATGTTTTTTATGTAATTGGGAAATATCTAACAAAAAATAAAATATATTTTAAAAAGGAAAAAAATGAAATAAAACCCTTGTGGTGATGAGAAAAGAACTAAAGACAATATAAAAAGATTAGATGAAGAAAATCCATCCTTAAAAACTCAATGATATGATATTTGCTAGTTATGACAGGAGGAAAGACAGAATATGACCCTGCTAGCATAGTCACAAGGAAATCAATAAGGAAAGCTCCAGTATTTTTCAGAGAGTCAACCCTAACTCTTATAAACATGACATAAAAGTATAGCAGTCAGAGACTATTTACTGAAAGGTAGACAAATCTCAAAAGCCCTGAGAACATTGCTGAATCAGCACAGTATATATTAATATTCATAGGGATGAGCATGAGTCACCAAAAAGTTTATTTCTTTCCAGTATCTTCCACTTAGTAAGGTAGGAATGTATACACTATATTTTACAAAGACTGCTATCAAAAATAATTTTAAGTATTTTGGGTACTTATAGGAATAAGCTTTAGTTATCTAGAAAAACCTTCATATGTGAAGGCTTAGGCAGTTGGAGACCTAGGTTGTATTCCTGGTTTACCACTATGATCTTGAGAAGTCATTTCCCCTTGCAAGGACTCAGTTTCCTCATATATAAAATGAGGAAGTTAGTACAAATTTCTTCTGATGTTATTTCCTATTCTAAAATTCCACATCTCAAATAAATAGTGTGTATTTATTTACATTGTACTAATTATTTGAAATATTTCCAAAGTGCTTTAGTTCAAGAGAATAGGCTACACATTATAAAAAGCTACTGGAATATAAGATAGAAAGGAAAATTTGGATTTGGCTTTTTATCCATTTCTAAACTTGTTGTTTCTAAATACCTGAACACAGGACAACAAAGGCCTCAAAGACTTTAAATCCAAAACATAAATAAGGGCTGGAGGGGAAGGCTACGTTACCCAGTGGCACTCTTGCAGCACTTGCATCAGGGTTGATCCAAAATGATAGCCAGGACAGGACCACAATGAGCAGAGTAGGGGCATACACACCCATCATATAAAATCCCACTTGTCTTCTCAGTGTAAAGATTACTTCTACACATGTGTAATAGCCTTTCAGAAACAAATACATGTATGTTATAAGTTGAGAAGCAATATTTTCAGACATCAGTAATACTCAAATGAACCCACTTACCTGTTGAGTGCAGGGCATTACTATTTGATTCAAATTGAAAAAGCAAATGCACACACACATACATGCACACACACACCACGCCGCCCCCCCCACTAAAAGATTTCCTTCAAGTGAAAAAAAAAGGTTGCCAAGAAGTGAAGACATTTAAATGAAAGCTAAATCAGCACAGTGTAGAACCTGTTTCCTCTGACCTTTCAGAACTTTGCCGATATTGAGAAACAGATATTACATGCTGTTATAATATTTCAATGTCTAGAGCCTTTCTTCAGAAAATCAGAAAGGGACTTTCAATCTTTTCATTACCCATGGGTGTTGCTTTAGGGAGATGACAGAAATAGCTACTTAAAGAGTAGCAAATCAAAGGAAGCCTACTGGATGAGCATCATAGATAGATTAGATAGCTGTAGCCAGTCTGGTTGTGTGGGGGTGGGAAGGTTTGGGTAGAAGCTACCCACAATTATCAGAAGGGACTAAAATTTACAAGTAACTTTTTGTGCATTGTCAAAATAGAAAAGAGCATTAAGGTACTTGAATACAAACATTAGCAAAGGATAAGAAAAGTGAGAAAATAGATGGTATGAAGTTTTTTGTAATGGAAACATCTGACCCCAGCTGTCCCTAATCCTGTCCCTCATGTTAACTCCTGTGATATGCACAAAATCAGGGCAAAATGTTTGGTTTTCTCTTGCCAAAATGAATGCAGGGAAAGTCTTAGCAGAGAAGACATTAGGCTTTGACTCCTAGACAGTCAAATAATTCTGTCCCATTGAAGAGTAACCTGGTAAGCAAATTACAAATTTCTGGCATTCCCAGAACCATCATGTTCTGCCAAAGGTTACAAAGGGAAACAACATAAATGTTGTTATAGCACTTGATAAAAATTAAGTATTCGTGAGTACTTGAGAATATTAAAAATTAATTAGCTTTTCTGTATTGATGATCAAATTTTAAAAAAATCAAGGCTATTTAAAAAACTCAACTAACTAATTTGTTATTTTATGCAAAATAAATTAACTTATGAATTGGGTATAATTATATAGAATTGACCCATTTGGTTGCCTGATCCCATATTATAAACACTTAAAATGTATTGAGAACAAATTTCTTGTTACATTGCCCCAAAAAGGGAAATTTTCTCATATCACATCTTTTTTCTCCAATTTTTTTCTGATAGTCCTGATATCTTTTCCCCCTGAAACTTCCAATTTTCAATTTTTTTTATATTGGCATAGTAGAATACTTATTGATCAAATAACTTCCCTTTACTATGCATAAGAATTAATGTTGATAGGGTCTTATATTAAGAAATAAATTAAGTTGAAGATCCATTCTTTTTGTGTGAATCAGTATCCTCTTTTTACTTAAGATCATAGTTGATACCATCGGTAGGTTTAAGAAGACATTAAGTGCGTGAGACTTGGAGTAGGTATCATTAGTTGTTGAACTACCTTTGTTCGAATTTTTTTTTCTTTTGTATTCTGTGCGGAAGAAGGAAATACAGAGGTTTTCTTTATAGAGCTGGTTATACACAAAATGCCTTGCCCAAATTTTCTGTTCCTTGGATAAACCCACAACATATGTTTGTAATTGTCAATCATGTGGAACATCTCCAAAATATATCATTGCTTCAGGATGCCCATTATTCAAACTTAGAGGGGATCCAGTATTTCCTATACGAGATTTTGAACTGCTTCTGTTTTATTATGGAATTTTACATTGCAGATAATTACCTATATACCTTTTATATATGAAACATATGAAAGTCACAGTGATGTGTTCCCCCAATGAATTTGACATTGTTTCAAGTGCCTTCGGATTTTCCAGATATTGCCTCAGTTCAGTATAATGTTGTTTATTTGAAAATGACTTATTTTTTCATTCCATTCAATGGAAGCAGAATGACAATTTTGATAAAATCTGTGTTTTGAGACAGATTGAGACCAAATCTGTGGAACAGGACACACTACTCACTGAAGTCTTTCAGGTGGATACCTGGATGACTTCAACATAAAAGTACACAGAAGAACATTTTAGTGATTTAGTCAATAAATCTTTATAAGAAATGTTTTTCAGATCCTGGCATGGATCTTTTTTTCTTTTATTTATACCAATTTTTTTTGGAAGGGGGATGAAGAGAGAGAAAGAGATAGACAGAGAGAGAAACATGCAGAGAGAGAAGCAGAGACAGACAAAAACAGAGTTAGAAACAGAGACAGAAAGTCAGAGAGAGAGGGACAGGCAGATACAGGTAAAAAAAGAGGGTGGGAGAAACAGATTTAGAATATATTCAGCTAATTATTGACATTGTAGATTATGCAAGTTGAGTTTACTAACCATTCTTAGTAGGGTTTTTTATTTTATTACAAATCTACAGTAAATTTCCAATTCAACATTTTTTAACATAAATCTTATTTCAGAGATTTTAATAAATAATTAGTGGACAAAATTGGCCTCCCTTGGAGGGAAAAGGAATCTGTCACTCATAGGTAATTCTTCCTCTAAAACTTGAGAAAACTTGTCCACCATCTAAAAGGTTGTACATGTTAGTTGATATGGCTTCCCCTGAAGTCTTGCTTTTATAAATATTATTTATCCAGTTTTGATAAGTATTCCAGCTTTCTGTTTCAATATTGATCCAACCCACTAAGGTTATCAGTGACAGCTCTTTTGAGAATGAAGCAATACCTTCAGGAAAAATGGAATATTTTCTCATCATAACTTGATTTTATGTTCAAATACTTTAGAATAAAGTTTCTCAAATTTCATACTTATCAGTTACCTTTATTAAGACATCTCTAAAATAAAAAAAATAATCTTTCCAAAAGATGTTTTAAATGGGAAGATATTTTTTTTTCTAAATAAAATATAAAGTAGGTAAAGTTTAATGCCATTGGGTTTGGTTTCATATAGAATTTTATATCAGTTGACTCACCACCGATTGTACATTACAGATTTACTTAGTGAATTACAGAAAAAAAAGGCATATGACATAAAATGTCTTTTTTTTTCTTTTGCTTCCAGGTGCAGACTGAATCCTCATCAATGAAGTCAATTCAAGATTTTGAAAAACACCATCTGGGAGAGGTTCCAAATGTAAGCTCAGCATCTGTATCTGCTTGCTTTGTTTTGCCCAATACCATATGTCCATGCTGTCAATTGTTCATTGGTCTTTGCTGAAGAAGATCTTGATGACATTGGCAATGCATTATTTCTGATCTAAAAACTAGCATTCACTTATGATATCCAAACTTCAACATGAAAGAAAACAAAATATGTAATAAAGGATTGTCAAGTGTTTGAAATCCTTAGCTTATGGTACCAAATGATCATCTATAAAGAAATTATATGAATTGAAAGGTGGCATTTATTTTTGATAGAAAAATGATGTTCTAAAAAGTTAAAAAAGTGACTCTGCTATGAAAAGTATCTTTTATTAATTCTTTAAATGATTCTTTCATTTCTTAGAAAAGACATTATAATGCTTGGAAATTACAAAGAATTTCCTTATTTTGAGGGTAGCCATTCAATTTAAATTTAGGATAACTTGTTCAGTCAGTGTTTTTATAGTCAGAAATGGAAGTGTCCTTCAAGTTAACTTCCCATTAGTTTCAAAGTTTCTTTATTTATCTAAATGTCATCTCAATACAATTGCTATAATTAAACTTTTAGTAATCAGACCTATGAACACAGTACTATTCTGTGTATCTTGCAAGAGATAAGCATATCTGAGAGAGAGAAAGCCACAGAATACAAAAGTAAGAGAACATAAGGAGGCATCCTTTGTTTGGGAAGTGGTGAGGGAAGGGTTCAAGACTTACAACCAAATAAAAGAGACTACAAAAGATTTTTTTGTTTGTTGTTTGTTTTAATGATTTTTCATGATATAAATGTGAAAGCTGGGGTGGCACATAAACACTCTAAGCCTGAAGTCAGAAAGACCTGAGTTCAAGTTGGCCTCAGACACTTACTATATGGTGTTGGGAAAGTCATTTAACCTCTGTTTGCCTCAGTTTCCTCCTCTGTAAAATGGGGATAAAAACAGATCCTACCTTTGAGGGTTGTTTTGGGGATCAAATGAGAAAATCATTATAAAGTGCTGTGCACAGTGCCCAGCATATAGTAAGTTCTGCATAGATGCTAGATACTATTATTATTATTTAAAAATTTAAAGCTTTTGGGTAAATAAAATCAATGTAATTAGAACAAGAAGAGAAAATAAGTGGGGAAAACTATTGCATGAAATATTTGATAAAGACCTGATGCCTAGTATTTATAGGGAATTTATGATAAATACATTTAAAACCAAAAGTTATTACCCAATATATAGTCAAAGGAAATAAGCAAGACGTTTCAAAATGAAGAAATGCAAACTTAACAATCATATAAACCAATGCTCCAAATCATAAATAATAATAGAAATGCAAATTCAAAAAATTCTGAAGCTTCACTTCATACCTATCAAAGTGAAAAAGATGATAAAAATTTGGAAATAGTAAATATTATAATGGCTTTAGGAAAAGGTATGCTAATTTGGAATTATTTGAGAAAGTTGAATAAATTAATTAATCTCCTTTAACCAATTCCCACTATCCATGCTTATGGACATCAAAGATAGAAACGTTCTATATATACTAAGATATCCATAGCATCACTCTTTGTTGCAACAGAAGCAAACAAAAACCTGGCATCAGTAACCATTGATTGAACAAAGGTCCATCTATGAATGTGCAATAAATCAATCTCTGATCAATTTGATGATTTCCTCCAATTAATTTGACAGGCTTACAGAGAATGACTTGTCCAGGGTCTCATAGCTAGTAACTGTCTGAGGCTATATTTGAACTCAGGTCTTCCTGACTCCAAGTCAAGAGAAAGACAGAGAGAGAGAGTTAGAGAGACAAAGACAGAGACTGAAAGATAGAGACAGAGACAGAGAAAGAGACAAAGTACAGGAGAATATTTTGTGAGGTTAGAAATTTTAGAGGGTCCTGAGCCATGTATGTAGCAAATGTAATAGAACTGCACAAGAAGAAATAAAAAGTTGTAGAAAATCAGAAAAATGGGAAGATATACAAAGTTTATGGTAAAGCAGAAGCAGAAAAATATGCATAGTTGCTACATTAATATAAATGAAAAAATACTAAATGCAGCTGAATTAGGTTGAATGTAATGAAAAACTGAGATTCCTGAGGACAGATAAGAAAACATACTTCCTTCCCGTCACTAGAGAGATGGGGATGGGAGGGTTAATTTCTGAACACTACATGCATTGACAAATTTTTCTTTGTTACAGGGAAGGATTGATTCCTGGCAGAACATTGGATAAAGTGGAAATAATTGTGATATAAAAATTAGGTAGACTTTAAATTAATTTAATTAAATTATTAAATAATTATTTGGACTATTTAAAATCAATATTTTTTAAAAAATAGATTACAAATCAATATTAAAATGGAACTTGATTCATCTGAAGTACAACCTTAATGGATTATATTAAAAATTATAATAAGATATAATTTTATAAAGTATATTACTTTAATTACAACCTGATAAGAAATTGGTTGATTTTAAAAATAGCAATAGACATTTAAGCCAACTTTTTACCGAAGTAACTACATACTGCATTCTTTATGTTAACTCTAAATATTATAGGCAGAGTTAATCATTTCTTGCTACAAAAGGAAGTTTGACATTTGGAGTTCATGCAGACATCCAGATATCATTGCGTCAGCCCACCCTTTTAATCATCTGAAAATGGATCAACATTACACTTGCATAGAATTTAGGTTTCTAATAGTCTAACAAACTCTTGAAGATATTCAGTATGGTATCTAGATCATATGTGGTGCTGACACTTTTTTTTAATTCAAAAGAGAACCAATTATTAATATTAGTGGAATAATCAAAATGCTTTGCATTCATTTTATAGTTAGCTCATTTAGATGCCCCTCAATTACTTGTAATAAAAGGGTAACATTGATATAGTTTCTACTACATGCCAGTCACTAAGTGCATTAAAATCATTGTCTCATCTGACCCTCTCAAAAACCCAAAATGTAGATATTATCATTATAATCCCCATTTTACAGATGAGTGAACTGAACTTAACAGAGATTGAGGGACTTGCCCATACACACAATAAGAGTCTGAGGCCTGCTTTGAATTCAGGTTTTCATGACTATAAAAATCGGTATCTCAATTCCTGAAAAACAGTAGTTTTGTTATGAGAACATTAACAAATGAGTCATGTATTTTCATTTCTACAAATGTTAGATATAATTTAATGAATGAGGTCAATTTGTTCTTCTTATCAGATTAGATTTTCTGTGACATAGGCCCAGCTGTATTGAAAGGATGTACTGCCTTTACTGGTTTCTAATTCTTATTCTAAAATTCTTTGTGTTTGATAAAAGGTACCATAGACAATGAAGTAATATGAATAAAAAATTTTGGTAAGCTTCTCTGATAAAGTCCTCTTTTATCAAATATATAGGGAACTGATTCAAATTTTTAAAATTTATCATTTTTTAATTTATAAATTTAGAAAAAATTTTTTAAATTTTGAAATTTAGAAAATTTAGAAAAAAAAATAAGAGCCATTATCCAATTGACTAATTGCCAAGAGGAAGTTTTCAAAAAAATACATTAAAGCTATTTATACTTACATGAAAACATATTCTAAGTCACTATTGACTAAAGAAAGACAAATTCAAATAACTCTGAGGTACAACATTATGTCTTTCAGGATTTACGTATACTGGAAAGGATAACGTATAAAACAGGTATACCAATGAACTGATGGTGGAGTTGTGAACTGGTCCAAACACTCTAGAGAACAATTTGGAGCTATGCCCAACGGGCTATAAAATTTATATATGCTTTGACCCACCAATACCACTAATAGTTCTATACCCCAAAGAGATCAAAGAAAAAGGAAAAGACACTCTACTTACAAAAATCTTTATAGCAACTCTTTTTGTGGTGGCAAAGAATTGGAAACTGAGGAGATGTCCATCATATGGGGAGTGGCTAAACAAATTGTGGCACATCCTTGTGATCAAGTACTAGCATGCTCTAAGAAAGTATGAGGAGGGTGGTTTTCAAAAATCGTGGGAAGACCTATGTGAACCTGAATGATGCAGAGTAAAATGAGCAAAACCAGAAGATCATTGTATACAGTAACAGCCGCATTGTAATGATGACCAACTGTGAAAGACGTAGACACCCTAATCAATACAATGATCCAAGACAATTTCAAAGGACACACGATGGAAAATGCTATTCACCTCCAGAGAGAAAACTGATGAACTCTAAGTACAAATTGAATAATAGCTTTCTCACTATTTTTCTTGCTTTTCTTTTCTGTGATATGGTTAATACAGAAGTATTTTGCATGATTTTACATGCATAATTGATATCATATCACTTGTCTTTTCAGTGAGTGAAGAGGGTTGGGAGGCATGGAGAGAATATGGAACTTAATTTTTTAAGAATGTTAAAAATAAATGAATAATATATATTTAAAAATTAAAAAATAATAAAATACCATGTCTTCCTTAAGGGCAGGGACTTATCTTTTGCCTTTTTTTAAAATCCCCAATACTATGCACAGTGCCTGGCACTGTCTTGATAACTGTTTATTGATTGATTGATTCTCTGACCAGGATAAAGGTTAGAAAACATTTTTTTCTTCAAAATGAAACACATGTCACCCATCACCCTGAAGCTGGCAAAATAAGTATTTGCTTGAATTTACATGGATTAAAACAATCTCAATGGCATTCTCATTTCCAAAATTGTTTTGCTACCCAGTGAGGTCTTGCCAGAAATGGTATTTCTTGGTTTCACTGCAGAAAACAATTTGCTCAGGGTGGGGCAGTCTATAGTTTCAGCACATAAAATTTAAGCTTTCAGATCCAGAAAAGTATATAAGAAAGGTCAAATCAACAGTACAACTGTCATATCATTGAAAAGTATAAAAATACTTTAGTAAATATGAGGGGTTTTTTCCAAATTAGAATATTACCAGCTTATACCTATTTCAAATTTATTTTTGCATAGTTCTCTTTTATTCTACATTTGGTCATTTATTGATATTACAACCAAATTAGAGAATGTTATCTGATACAGATTCTCTTCTTATCTTAAAGATTACTTACCAGTGCCTTTATAATATTTGGTACAGTTACCATATTCAATATCTTCTTTTTTAATATCAAACTGTGGCAAAGCTATTTTCTCTAACTGGACAGGATCCCCTGATTGCCAGATAAATCGCAAATCATCCGTTGTATAACCAACTTTATGAAAAACAAACAAAAATGGTTTCAATTATGTACACCAGGCAAAAATGTATTATGAATATCATGCACATAATAAGCTTAATTTTATTTCCTCTAGATGATTTGAAATTTTAACATAGCAAAGGTTATAAAATAACATCATTATTCTTTTTTTTGTACAATTGGATCTTAAAAGAATATATAATTTTTTAAAAATAAAAGAATATGCATACATATGTTGTGGCCAACTGATGGTACCCTGGAAAGAGTACATTACTTGAAATGATAAGATCTGTTTTCAGGGTCCAGCTCTGTCACTGGCTATTCAAAGAAATAGGAGACCTCCAAACTTTCCTGATAAAAAGACCAGAGCTCACAAAAAGTTTGATCTTCAAGTACAGGACTCAAGAAGAACTTAAAAAGGTAAATGGGACAGAAGCATACAATATGTTCTTAATAAGGGGGGGGAGGTTTAAACCCCTACAAGGGAATATGAGACTTGCAACCCTTGAGAACTGTATTGTTATTACACCTTGTTAAAGGAGTATATATAAAGAGGGTGGATATTAGTTGACTTTGATGTAATGATAAAAAAAAAATCTAATCAAGTGGGTTAAATGGATCCAAATAAGTGGATCAATCTAATCTTAGAAAAGGTACTGAGAAAGGAGGAGGCAGACAAGGGTAAATTACATTCCAGGAAAAGACACGAAGTCCTATTATACAGCACAGGGAAAGAAGGGAGGGGGAGAGCATTGTTTGAACCTTACTCTCATCAGATTTGGCTCAAGAAGGGCATAATATAATGTTAGGTATAGAAATCTCACTTGCCCTATAGGCAGTAGGAAGGAAAAGGGGAAAGAAAAGGGAAGGGGGAAAGAAAGGGGGGGGGGAAGGAAGGGAGGGAAGCAGCAGTTAAGACTAAAGGGGAAGAAAAGGGAAAGAGATAATAAAAGGAGGGAGGGGCTGAAGGAGGCTGTGGTCAAAAGCAAAACACTAGTGAAGGGGAGAAAGGAAAAAGGGGAAAGAAAAGCATAAATAGGGGGAAAAAAGGATGGTGAAAAAGACACAGATAGTAATCATAACTGTGAATGTGAATGGGATGAACTCTCCCATAAAACAGATACAGATTATAGAATGGATTAAAAACCATAATCCTACAATATGTTGTTTACAGGAAACACGTTTGAAAAAGAGTGACACATACAGGGTAAAGGTAAAAGGCTGGAGCAGAATATATTATATGTCAGCTGAAGTAAAAAAAAGCAGGGGTAGCAATCCTGACTTCTGATAAAGCAAAAGCAAAAATAGATCTAATCAAAAGAGATAAGGAAGGAAACCATATCCTGCTAAAAGGCACCATAAATATTACATTAAATTGAAAAGTTTTTGCACAAAACAAGCCAACGCAACTAAGATTAGAAGGAAGGTAGAAAATTGGGAAAGAATTTTTACAACCAGTCTTTCTGATAAAGGCCTCATTTCTAAAATATATAGAGAATTAAGACAAATTTATAAGAACACAAGCCATTCCCCAACTGATACATGGTCAAAGGATATGAACAGACAGTTAGTTCTCAGACGAAGAAATTAAAGCCATCTATACTCATACAAAAAAATGCTCTAAATGGTTATTGATTAGAGAAATGCAAATCAAAACAACTCTGAGGTACCACATCACACCTATCAGATTGGCCAACATGACAAAACAGGAAAATGATAAATGTTGGAGAGGATGTGGGAAAATTGGAACGCTAATACGTTGTTGGTGGAGTTGTGAAATGTTCCAACCATTTTGGAGAACAATTTGGAACTATGCCCAAAGGGATGCAAAAATGTGCACGCCCTTTGATCAGCAATAGCACTTCTAGGGCTATATCCCAAAGAGATCAAACAAATGGGAAAAGGACCCACATGTACAAAAATATACATAGCAGCTCTTTTTCTGGTGGCAAAGAATTGGAAATTGAGAGAATGTCCATCAATTGGGGAATGGCTGAGCAAGTTGTGGTATATGAATGTAATGGAATATTATTGTGCTGTAAGAAATGATGAACAGGCTGACTTCAGAAAAACCTGGGAAGACTTATATGGTCTGATGCTGAGTGAAGTGAGCAGAACCAAGAGGACTTTGTACACAATAGCAGTCACGTTATGCAATGACTAAGAATGTTAAACTGAACCCTTCTCAGCATTACGAGGATCTAAGACATCTCCAGAGGCCTCGGGAAGGAAAATGCTGTCCACATCCGAAGAAAGAACTATGGAAGTCGAATCACTCTCACTTATTTTTACCTTCTGTTGAGTTTTGTTTCATCTTTCTGATGGTTCCTCTTATTGGTTTTAATTTTTACTCACAACTTCACTAATGTGAAAATATGTTTAATGGGTATGTAAATGTAAAGCCTATATCAGATTGTGTGCCATCTTGGGGAGAGTGGGGGGGAGAAAAAGGGAGAAAAATTTTCAACTCAAAAGCATATGGAAAAAAAAAATTTAAAAATAAAAATTTTTTAAAAAAAGAAAAAAAGAAAATGTGTGGATACACAGTAAGTTTATGGTGTATGAACTCCTTGGGGCTAATAATATTTTCGATATAATGGTTTCAATTTATGACAGCGATGGTTATGCATCTACTTCTCTTGACACAAAACTGTCTCAAAATATCTGACCTTGACCAAATGAAACTAGATGTGATCTAGATTTGCGACTTTTAGTTAGTTCTCCATCAGATGAGTGTTTTATTTCATGCCATATACATGTGTTGCACTGCTCCCTTATGTTGTGTTTTCAATTCTGTATTTTAAAGAAGTATTACTCTAAGGAATCTCGTGAAAGTTGTCACTCTTAACAAGCACATTTCAACAACTACTGGGGATATTGAAGTGGCTGCTGATGTGAGGAAATCAAATATTCTAAGGATCATTCAAGCCCATGATGAAATAGAATCAGTTGTACCAAAGCACAAAGAAAAGTATGATCCAAAATAAAAACACCCCCAAGCACTGGCAAATAATTGCCACAAAAGAGCCAAATTAATCTTCAAAAAACAAACAGACCTTCAGAGGGATTTAGCAATGAAACAGGTTGTTATTGATTCTTCTGTAGTGAAGCAAAGGCTGCCTAATGTTGGAAGAACAGAGAAAGGGCTGGTATTTAAAATACACACACAGAGAGAGAAACACACACACACACACACACACACACACACACACGCATGCAGGCATGCATGCACACACCATAACAATACCAGTGAAACAAAAGCACTGATAATCTTTACTACAAAAAAAATTGTCATGGGCAAGACAGTACAAAGAATGGAGTTCTGAAGATTGGAAAGGGGTAATTTTCAATGCTGAAGCTAACTTTTTCATTTAAAAGTATAACTAAACTGTTGCAAGCATTCGAGGTGTGCCTATAAGATCTAGGCATCTTCCTTAGTAAAACATCCCTCCTCCCCAACCCCCAACAAATTTTGTGGGTTAGGTGGCATACAGATCTTGTCCACATTGAAAAAATGATTAAATCTAAAAAATATATTTATATATAGAGAACAGAATTATTCTAGAATTATAGAAATTACTAAATAGACATGGGACACTACAAAAAAGGCCTTACATCATGCTACATGGCATGAAGGGTTAAGAAATTTATCTAAGAGTTGGATATTAACAGTCTCCAAAGTCCTGAGAAAAGACTATGCAGGATAAACTAGTAGGAAAAATAAGAATGTCCCAACTCCTCCCACAAGCTCTACAACTATCAAAGAAGAAAATTAGACTGAGTAGTCATTAGGATATTGAAGGAGAAACTCCAATAAGTCGTCTTTTCAGCCCAAGATAACAAAGGAGACAGTCAAAGAAGATTCAGAGCCCAGGAAAAATTTATATTATGTTATGATGATCCTAAAAGAAGCAACAAAAAAAAAAAAGAAGGGAAAGGATACACAGGGAGAGAGGCTAGATGCTCATTAGTTGAATAAAAACAATATTTTAAAAAGGGGGGGGAAGGCCATGTAACTCACGTTATTTAAAACTCATTAAAAAATTTAGGTGCTATCATCAAGGCTATTTTTGGGAAAATTAAATGTCAAAGATATATTTTGTATCTAATGTGATAAAAATGTGACTTTTAAAATGATGAAGACTATTTGTAAAATTTTTGTGAATTCAATGTCAAATTGCAGAAAAGAAGTGTTTGCTGTAATGCGAGGATAGATTGCCTATTAAAAATTAGTCCAGGTTATATAAAGTTTATTATAAGCTAACATTTTACTTTGTCCCACTTAATTTGCACAGTACTGCAATATTACTCATGCATGTGGCTTGGGGCTCTGAACTGGCGATTTATTCTGGATAAGAGATTTTCATTGTGAAAATCCCCTATAACAAAAAAGGTCTGCAACTCATATGTAACTTGCAGTCTTAGATAGCAATATTTTAGCAGAAAATAGAGAATGAGTTGCATTTGAGTTTCAATATTTCCATATTCGTACAAAGAGACTCATTGATACTAAGTTCAACTTCCCTCACCTCCAAAATAACTTATAAAGAACTCTTCTTTCCATCTGACAGAAGCCTGAGTGAAAAAGCCCGAGACTCCTAGAAGGCACATATTCAAGAAAAGCAGAAAGATGAGACAACCAGTATCTTACTCAGTTTCACCCTCCTTAGGGCTCCAGAAGTCCCTGCTTAACTGGCTAGTGCTTGGTCTGTCTTCATTTCTCTTCTGTCCCCATATAGTAAGCATTGCAGCTAAGGAATAACTGTAGTGATTTTTTCCCCTCATGTCAAGTAGCATAAGTGGAGAATCATCAAGTCAAAAAAAGAGGTATCCTTCATTATGGCACATAATTAGTCTCTTCTCTTCATGTTGGCAGTAAACAAATGTCCTTATATCACTGAAATTACATGCCCGAGTTCAAATATTATCTGAAAGGCTGCCCCCAGTGAACTTATAGAAGACAAATTTGGGCTAAAAGATTCAAGTGGAATTGCTTAGAGAACATGAATGAAACAAATGTTTGTTCAATTTGTTCCCTGGAAACTCAAGGTAGCAGCTTATCATCTGATTCAAGTACTGAAATATTCACTAATTGAGAAACCCAAACCTAAGCCCAACTCTAGAAGGATAGCTATCACAATACAACAAAAACAGCCCAATAAATGGGTATATTCTCAATATCTTGTTTAATGGCAGCATGATTTCTGAATTTTAAAGCACAGATGGTGAAGATATGCAATGCTGACAAATGCAAGGATCCTGTATAATCTTAGATCATACAATATAAAGACTCTATTGTTCATCTCTCAATGTACAGATTACCTAAGGCTACCCTTGGGTTTATTTGGGAATAGGATCAAATACTGAATGCACAGTCTTGGAAATATATGCAGACATTTTCCTTTCATAGCTGGGTGAACTTTTCTAAAGTAAAAAAAAAATCACTGCTCAATTTTAAGTTCCATTTCAGCACATTATAAAGAAAAATTTAATAATAATTGAACCACAATTTAAAGTATTTTGTCTGCCCGGGATATTCATGATATTGAACAGAATGCCTTATAAACTGCAAAAAAAAAATCGATAACCATTCATGTATTCCTGGAAGTGGTGCAGTGACTTGCAACACTTTCTGTTGATTAAAATATTTCATGACTTCAAAGACAAGTATCATTGTAAACCCAATGTTGAGTTTCTGAATGAGACTAATTCTATTTTGTTGGTGCTGTTTTCACATTATAATTTCCCACATCACATATAATTTCCCAATTGTATCTAATAACATGGCTATCCCAAATTCAAATCATTTTCATCTTGTGTTTGGTAGTTAAAGAGTAGGGCAAAGGCTAGACCTGTATATTAATAATGTATAGGGAACTCCCAGGTGAGGAAATTCTTTTTACCAGCGCAGATCAGCAGCTTCTCCACACTTACAAGTTTAGAGGGTTGCCAGGGCAGTACATGGAGGTCAAAAGACTTGTCTAGAGTAATATAACCAGCATGTGTCAGAGACAGTACTTGGACCCTGACTTTCCTGGCTTCTTGGCCATCTCTCAATTTACTATGCCAGGCTACCTCTTCAGTTAGAGAACAATTAATTAATTATTAGTTAATGTTAATTAATAAGCCTTCTGAAATTAAATAAATTTTTTCCTTCTCCCCTGCAATTATGATTTCATACTTAGAAATTAGCTAAAAAAAAATCTGTTTCTACGTCAATGCTATAAAATTATATAATAGGATAATAAAGCTGTCTATGCATTAATAAGTGAGTATATATTGATGAGTGAATAGAATGAATGTGTCCTAAACAAAAGAAAACTAGTGAAGGTTTATAATTAATAACATTCATCTTTATAATTAGTCTCTACAATATTGAGGATATATGCAATTATTTGTTTTAGTCATGTTCAAATGAACCCATATCATGCATAATATTATGTACATACAGCTTTCCAATTGCATCTTGCAACGTTGTGTATCCATCGGAAATAAGGTCAAGTCCAAAGGGCAGGAAAGAGTAATAGATAATCTGAAAATATAAATACAGTGCTCAGATGCCATTGACAGTATCTCTTAAGTGAACCAATGATTTTAAAAGAAAATGATAATATGAAACTGTACCTCATACTAACTAAGACATCTCCATCCCGAAAAATAAAGAGGAGGATATTTTCTTGTGTAACATCATGGAAATTTGCACTCTTTTCATTCACAAAAAATAGGTCAGGTTTCCATAGACACTTGTACATGGTGGGATCCACTGTCAGTGCATCTGAGCCCCTAAAATCATTAGGAAGCTTCAGCCGAGGATCATTCCATTTCTGCCTCAGGAAGATGTTAACCCTATAGTCCTAACCATGAAAAAAGGAAAAGAAATATTATGTCTTGCCAATAAAAGAAAAGTTTAAAAATTTGAAAGGTAGTTAAGTAAAGTTTCCAACAAATATCTTCATCTTACTGAATTGAACTAAAGCATTCTTGAATTTTATTTTCTAAACAGTAACTAAACAAATTACTAATAATCCAGATAAACATCAAAGATTCATTGTTCTTTTATGCTAATGGTATTCATATGAATTAGCTAGATTCTATCGGGGAGGAAGGGAAATTCTAAGAGGTAGATGTAAAGAAACTTTTTTTCATAGATCTACTTCCAGTGATGTAATATTTCAATTTCATATACCTTACAGTTTCCCAAATGAAATGGATAGAAAGGCTTATATCATTAATTGGCAACCAAGCTGTGAAATATGTGCAGCTGGTGGTGAGGTTCCTGGGCCAGATAAATTAAGATTCATGTACTCTAGGTATCCCTCCTTGTTTTCACAGTACCACCAAAGAGAAGGGGGAATGAAGCAGCTATACTCTAATAAGAGGCAGGAAAGGGATTTTTAAGACTGTAGCAACACTTGAGTCATCACTTTGCATTTGCTAATAATACATTATAAGAGAATCAAAAAAATTCAGACATGAGAAGCCACCTAATTCTATCCACATCCAAAAAAAAAAAATCCCCTTACTAGAAAGGTTATCTAGACTTTGTTTAGAGAATTCCCATGAATGAGCACGTACTACCTCCTGAGGCTGCAAGTTCCACCAAGGGAATGCAATCATTAAAAAATTTTCATGTGGGGAGCCAAGATGGTGGAGTAAGAAGTGAGTCTCTCTCTCTTACCCTCCCTTATTAACCCCTGAAAGTCCAGACACCCCAGGAAAAACCCTGGAACAGTTGAACCAGAAGAAAGTTGGGGTGCAGCAGTCCAGTAGCCCAGGTAGCTTGAGGGATTAACAGGAAAGGCCTCTCTTTCCCTGGGGGAAGGAGAGCAGTACAGCTTGGGAGGCATCCCAGCAAGCTAGTGGAAAGCCCCACCTTAGGATTACCAGGAGGTGATCCTGAAGCCCAGGTGGTGGAGCAGGCAAACACCAACACCTGGACCCCAGTGCCTCACTGAGGGCAGGGGAACCGGTGGAAACCAGCTCAGAAAACCACCAGGTGCCCCAGCATTCTACAGCAACCAGCTCTCTCAGTGCCTCAGTAAAATTAAAGGAAGCAGCTCTCCAAGGGCCCCCAGGTAGATAAACACCTTACAACATCCTTCTGAAAAGAGCTGAAGAAAGCAAAAGGAAGGAAAGGCCTGGGTAAGCAGGAAATCTCCAGGAGCCACACTACCAAAACTTACCCCTAGAATTCCAGTATTACTGTTTCCAGCCCAACACCAGGTAAGCTGCCAGAATCCTACAACCTCCAACTGCCAACATTGGAAGCCCCAGCACACAAAGCCATCGACCCGGCCCTAGGCTTCCAACACAAGAAGCTTGGGTCAGTGCCCTCTGCTCCCCAGCAGAAGAGCCCAATCTCTTTAAAGGGCAGGAAATAAGCAAACACCATGAGCAAAAAGAAACATACGATAGATTGTTATTATGGGAAGAGTGAAGATCAAGGCAGAAATTCTGAAGAGGGCAATATTGTCAACAAACCCACACCTGGAACATCAAAATGGAATATGAACTGGTCTAAAGCCCAAATAGCCTTCTTAGAAGAGCTCAAGATGGATTTTAAAAGTCAAATGAGAGAGGTAGAAGAAAAAATGGGAAAAGAAATGAGAGGTATGCAAGAGAGAGTCAATAGCTTGGAAAAGGAAAGACAAAAATTGACTGTAGAAAACAAGTCCTTTAAAAAATACAGTTGACCAACTGGAGAAAAAGTACACTGAAGAAAACAAGTCCACAAAAAATACAATTGGCCAGCTGCAAAAAAAGTACACTGAAGAAAACAAGTCCCTAAAAATACAGTTGGCCACATGGGGAAGGAGGTACAAAATCTAATGGAAGAAAACAATTTGTTAAAAATTAAAATTCAGCAAATGGAAGCTAATGACTCTATGAGAGATCAAGAATCAGTCAAACAAAAACAAAAGAATGAAAAAATAGGCAAAAATGTAAAATATCTCATTAGTAAAACAACTGACCCAGAAAACCAATCCAGGATAGACAATTTAAAAATTATTGGTCTACCTGAAAATCATGATGAAAGAAAGAACCTGGGAAGTATCTTTCAGGAAATCATAAAGGAAAACTGCCTTAAGGTCCTAAAACCAGAGGGTGAAATAGCCATAGAAAGAATCCACAGATCACCAGATCCCAAATTGAAAACACTAAGGAATATAGAGGCCAAATTCCAAAATTACCAGATCAAAGAGAAAATACTGCAAGCTGCCAGAAAGAAACAATTTAAATATCATGGAACCACAGTCAGGATTACACAGCACCTTGCTGCTTCTACATTAAAAGATCATAGGGTGTGGAATATGACATTCCATAAGGCAAAGGAACTTGGGTTATAACCAAGGATCACCTACCCAGTGAAAATGAGCATGATCTTTCAGGGGAGGAGATGGATATTCAACAAAATAGGAGACTTCCATACCTTCCTGATAAAAAGACCAGATCTCAACAGAAAATTTGATTTTCAAATACAAGACTTAAGAGAGACATAAAAAGGTAAATGAGACAGAAAGAAACAACATGTTATTAATAAGGGCAAACCCCTTTACATCCCTACAAGGGAAGATGACTCTTGTAACTCTTGAGAACTATGTTGTTATTACACCACGTTAAAGGGATATACATAAAGGGGGAGGTATAAATTGACTTTGATGTAATGATGAAAAAAATCTAATCAAGTGGGTTAAATGGATCCAAGTAAATGAATTAATCTGATCTAACTAAGAAAATGTACTGAGAGAAAAGGAAAGGAGGAGGCAGACAAGGGTAAATTACATCAGAGGAAAAGGCACAAAATCCTATTACAGCAGTGGGAAAGAAGGGAGGGAAATGAGCACTGTTTGAACCTTACTCTCATCAGATTTGGCTTAAGAATGGAATAACATAATCAGTTATGTATAGAAATCTAACATACCCTATAGGCAGTAGGAAGGAAAAGGGAAAGAAAAGGGAGGGGGCTAATAGAAGGGAGGTGGGACTGAGGGAGGCAGTGGTCAAAAGCAAAACATTTGTGAGGAGGGAAAAGGAGAAAGGAGAAAGAAAAGCATAAATGGGGTGGGGAAGGATGGAGAGAAAGACACAGATAGTTGTCATAACTGTGAATGTGATGTATGAATGCACTGGAATACTATTGTGCTGTAAGAAATGATGAACAGGCAGACTTCAGATAAACCTGGAAAGACTTGTATGGTTTGATGCTGAGTGAAGTGAGCAGAGCCAGGAGAACATTGTACACAGTAACAGCCACATTGAGTGATCACTGACTTTGATAGACTTAACCCCTTTCAGCAATACAAAGATCAAAGACATCTCCAAAAGCCTCACGACGGAAAATGCTATCCACATCCAAAGAAAGAACTATGGAGTTTGAATGCAGATCAAAGCACACTATTTGTATTTTTTTCTTCTGTTGTGTTTTGTTTCCTCTTTCTGGTTGTTCCTCCTATTAGTTCTAATTCTTACTTACAACACCACTAATGTGAAAATATGTTTAATAAGAATGTATATGTATAACCTATATTAGATTGCATGCCGTCTTGGGGAGGGAGGGAGGAAGGAAGGGGAGAAAAATTTTAAACTCAAAAGCTTATGGAAGTGGTAGTTGATAAATCGAAAGAAATTAATAAAAAAGAAAGAAAGAAAGAAAGAAAGAAAGAAAGAAAGAAAGAAAGAAAGAAAGAAAGAAAGAAAGAAAGAAAACATGGACTTTGACAGCCTAAAAAAAAAGTTATCATGTATTTCCTTACACAAAACTTAATTTTCTCACTAAGCAACTTCTATTTCTGCTCCTAGTTCTGTCTCCTAGAATAAAGGATTTTAGGGATTCCTGAACTTCTTAATAAAATATTTTGATAACTGTTGAATGATTTTAGTTGTGTCTGATTCTCCCCCCATTTGGAGTTTTCTTGGCAAAGATACTGGAGTGCCTTGTTATTGACTTCTCCAGCTCATTTTACAATTGAGGAAACTGGGGCAAACAGGGTTAAGTGACTTCACCCAGCATTGCACAAGGTATTATGTGCCTTAGGCTGGATTTAAACTTGGGAAAATGAATCTTCCTAACTCCCAGCCCATGCTCTATCCCTGTACCACCTAGCTATTCATTTTGGAAACTCTTTTTAATATAATTGATTTTCTTCATGTTTTTTTTTTTTCTGAGAAGGGGCTCACAGGCTTTAACTGATTGCCAAAAGGGTCCATGACATGTATACACAAAATAGTCAAGAACCTTTGTTCTTTGGGACCAAGAACAACAAGTCTCATCCTTCCCTCATAAAATAGATGTTCAAATAATTAAGGATAGCTGTCTTGTTCCCTCTGCCACAATCTTCCCTTCTCCTCCCCAAACATTCCTAGTTGCTTCAACTAACTCACATGTCAGGACCTAAACTCTTCATCATCCTGGTTGCCCTCCTCTGGCAGCAAATCTTCTCAAATGACATATTACCATGTAAATTTCCAAGTAACCACCCTCAACTTCCAGCCAAACATTATCCTCACTATTCAGAAGGATGATAAAACCTTCTAGATTTGAGAGCACATCTTTTGAACCTATCAGAAGTAGAAAATATGTTTGAATTTTTAAGTTTTACGTTGATATTAATTTAAATGTTTTTTTCTTCAATATGCATAAACCTTTGAAAATTAAAGGACTCCATTACAATATCCAAGAGAAAAATGGAGAAAACATATTCAGATGACAACTGAGTCACAACTTCTTTATTGGTGGTCAAAGGTGTGCACAAAACATCATGCAAGGATTATTATGCATGCTATGCTAGCAATACATTCCTACTTGAGAAAAAAAAAACCTAGCATTGACTATACAGACTTTTGTGCAAGTTGA